GAGAAGGGTTGAGCCCTAGGCTGTTTGGACACTCGACGCCATCTCATCTACCATACTGAAAGGGCAGAGGAAGGGCGGGGAGATGGCAACAACAGTGGGAGCAGTCACCAGGCTGGAACAGTTGACGAAAACCTGATCCAAGCAGCCCTGAGTCCCCCTACATCCCTGCTTGCTCACCCAGGGCACCCCAAGGCCCGGGACTTCCTCGTGGGAGAAGAATGTGAGCACAGCCCTCCCCCCCGCCAGGTTGGCCCCTTCCTCCAAATCTGGAACCTGGAGTCCGGCTCTGACCCAGTGAGGTCTCAGTTCCCAGGACCAGGAGGACTTTGTGTGGTGGCTGGCCCTGCACTCCAGGACCTGTACACTGTGTTCCTATGTCGCTTGCAGGGGTTGGTAAGAGGTTGTCTGGATGATGATCTAATGGCAAGATGGATTTAGTGACTGCCGTGGGCGAGGGCTCAGTTACTGCCACCCCATTAAACAAGGAACTGGAGGCTCAGAGAAGGAAAGTAACTTGTCCGAGGACACACAGCTGAAGAATAAAATCACCGAGGCTTGAACCCAAGTCCCCAGCCACTTATAAATGAATACAGAGCTGTGGAGAAATCAAAGCAGTAACAGTTAAGAGCGACTGTGCCACCCGCTGATCTAGGGGCCTTCGGTGGGTTCTACCTCAGCCTTGTAGTGATGGCCATCCTGCCAAGGTAGGAAACCAGGCACAGAGGACTTAACTAACATTAGGAAGTTCCCCAGGCATGAGAGTGGCTCCAACTCTAAGGGCTTTGGTGGAAGAAACCAACCTTGTCAGTGAGATTAGGGACACTTGGGTTGCCTGGACACACTTGTGCTGATGGCATCAGTGTAGGCACATGGAGGCTGGGACCTGGGCTCCCCACTCCCACCACAGCAGACCCCCCCAGGGGTGAATGCTCCTCCTCCCACCACAGCAGCAGAAACCCCCAGGAGTAAATGCCCCTCTCTCGTCCATAAGATCTGGAACTAGGGCTCGGAGGCCTTGCCTGTGATGCACAGGGACTCAGCCTTGGAGCAACAAACTGTGGACACACAATAGCCAGGTCAATAGCCACCCCTGTCAAAGGCCTTCTCTACACCGAGTCTGTCCAGAGCTCTCTGGGGTTGGAAATGGGAACAGGCTTCCCCTGCCAGCCACTGAGCAAAGAGAATCTCCCAGCTCTTAAAGGGACAGGCCCCCAACGTCCGTTCCAGAGATGGGAGCAGGTGCCAGAAGGATTCAGCCTAAGGCCTGTGCCTATACTGCCCAATCTCAAGACCACTGTGTTCGTAGCCTGGACGAGCAATGTCACAGGTTCCTACTCTGGGGCTACCATGAACCTGTCCCGGAGCTTCACACCCTCAGTACTATTGACCTGGATGATGTTCTGTTCCTAGGGGTCATTGTGGACTAATGGTCTTGGCTTCTGCCTCTCTGGTGCCAGTCACACCCCTCTCATGGGCCATAGCAACCAGATACTTCCGAAAAATTGCTAAGTGTCCCCTAGGGAAAGACCCCCTAGGAAGTAGCCATATTGTACAAACAAGGACACTGCCAACGCTCCAGGCCAAGGGTGGCAGAGCTGGGCACAGCTGCTCTTGGAGAGTGGTGACATATTTATCTTGGCTGTTTAATACATCTGTCGTTAGGCAGACAAAACGGGAAGGTTTGCATGCCATTTTGTAGAATGTGGCTGGAATTAAGAAGGTCCGTGTGTGTTTCTCACAGAGGAGTGTAGGTAATGGGAATACGCAGAGTTTGGCGTCAAGCTGAGAGAAACAGGCTTTGTTTGGGAGTCCTGATGTGCCGACAGCTGCAGAAAAGCCAAGTCACGGGAAGAGGGTGACACCCGTCTGTGGCCTGTTGTTCAGGTTCACAGCGCAGCAAAGGGGGGCAGGGTGAGCTCTCGCTCCTCACTTGGCCAGTGTGTGCTGAGCCTCTGCCAGTCGCAGGCACTCAGCTTGTCGTGTGTTGACGCCACTCCCTGAGCTGCAGCAGGGTACGCAGAGAAGACTGAGGGTCAGTCCTCTTCCCCGGCACTTACAGATTATGGGCAGCAATGGGCACATCTGCACATGCGCACATGCACACACAGGCACATGCACACAAACACACACACTCAGACACACATACACATGCATAAACATACACTTACACATACATACACACACCTACACATGACTGGAACAAGATGTCAGTATCCCCAAGGAACAACAGTACAGTGCAGAGATCTGAAGATGGAGCGGCCCTTGTATTTAGGGAAAGCAGAGATGATGTCAGAGAAGGGAAGGGGGCCACACAGGCCTGGTTTCCATTTGCTGTTTTGCTTCAGGAGAGTGAGGTTGGTTGGTTTTATTTTATGTATTGATATGTGTGCGTGCGTGCGTGTGTGCGAGAGAGAGGGGGAGAGAGAGAGAGCAGGGTCTCACATAACCCAGGCTGGCCTCAAATTCACTATGTGGCCAGGAATGACCTTGAACTCCTGCCCCTCTTGCTCCTCCTGCCCCAGCTCCGGGATGCTGGGATTCCAGGTGTTCACCACCACATCTGGTTCATGCAGTCCTGGGGCTGGAACCCACAGCCTCCCTCATGCTAGACCAACACTCTGACAACGAAGTCCCCACCCTGACCTCCTCTCTGATCTTTTCTGGCCTCTCAACTACAGCTTAGTGGAGGTACCTGTGACCATTTAGTTCTCCCCTCCCCCAAGCCATTCTCTTCCTGGATCCCTGAGCACAGATTCTCCAGGGTGAGCTGACTGAGCCTGCATTTTCTGTCCACCACAAATCCAGTCAGCAACAGGCAAGAATATAAACCCGTGAGCCACCCCATCCTCAGGCAGAGGGACAGGTGGCCAATGAGAAGATGCAGGCATTGTGACAGACAGACTGAGGGTTTCAGTTTTGCACTGAGAAGTCTGGGAAATGTATTAAGTGGAAATTAATGTCTCTAGATTTATATTTTTATAGAAAGACTCCTTAAGTCATTCATTATATCTACTCGCAGATGGATTCATTATTCATCAAGCCTCTTCTCTTGGGCAATCCCTCTTCTACTGTGTGTGTGTGTGTGTGTGTGTGAGAGAGAGAGAGAGAGAGAGAGAGAGAGAGAGAGAGAGAGAGAGAGAGAGCTCGCGTGCCACAGCATGTGTGTGGAGGTCAGAGGACAGCTTTATGGAGTCTGTTCTCTTTCCACCTTGCTGTGGGCGCCAGGAATCAAACTCAGGTCCCCAGACTTGTGCGACTTTTACCCACTTCCCTGTCAACAGTCCTTGAGCTCTCTCCCTGACCCAGGGACTGTATGGTAAAGCAGAGGACCGCGGCCCCAAAGTTCATATTCCCCTCCAATCCTTAGACACATCTAGGACATCTGTGCCCATAGGAAAATGAGCTGCAAGATCTTGGGTTTTCTGTTGTTATCAAATGATCCTTAGCATTCTTCTGACATTTATATTTCTTATTTTTAGTTATGTGTAGGTGTATCTGAGTCTGTGGGTATTTGTACATGAGGGTATTGCTATCAGGTGTGTGTGTGTCTGTGTGTGTGTGTGTGTGTGTGTGTGTGTGTGGTGGGTATATGTACATGAGGGCATTGCTATCAGGTGTGTGTGTGTGTGTCTCTGTGTGTGTGTCTGTGTCTGTGTGCGTGGTGGGTATATCTGCATGAGGCCATTGCTATCAGGTGTGTGTGTGTGTGTGTGGTAGGTATATCTGCATGAGGGCATTGCCATCAGAGGCCATGGGCATCAGATCCCCTGGAACTAGAGTTACAAATGGTTAGGATAATAAGACTCAAACTCAGATCTTCTAAAACAAACAAGTATGCTAAACCACTGAGCTGTCCCGGCATCCACCCACCCCCGGCCATGTGACTTTTAACATACTCTCGTGCTGAGGAATCAAAGGGACCTGGGTCCAAATCCTGGCTCTGCCATATCCTATATTTTGTAATTTTATTCATTTATTTTATGTGTTTGGGTGTTTTGCCTACGTGTGTGTCTGTGCACCACATGTGTTCAGTACTCACAGAGCCCAGAAGAGGGCACTGGTTCCCATTAAAAAAAGGAGTTACAGACAGAAACACTGGGAATGGAACCCGATCCTCTAGAAGAGCAGCCAGTGCTCTTAACCACTGAGATCTCTCTCCAGCCCTTCATGTGTCAAGTCTCACTGTTCAGCAGAGCTGGATGGGGTCTCATAAAGCCCAGGCTGGCCCTGAATTCCTGACCCTCACAAGTGCTGGGCTTACAAGAGCGTGCCTCCATGTCTGGGTTCAGTGGAGTGAATAACACTTAATGGGCTGACGTTAGTGCAGTGAGATAGGGCTGTGCTTGCTGGTATTCCCATCATCCCAGGACTTGGGAGGCAGAGACGGGAATGCCGGAAGGGAGAAGCCCCAGTAACAAGGTAACAAGTGGGACCCTGTCTGCAAAAACAAACAACAATGAGGTAAGACATAGAAAGTGCTTGGCTCAGTACTCAGCCCTGGGCACCGGCACTGTACCCCAGAACTATGCCCACAGTCACCCTCAGCCCCCTGACATTCTTGTAAATCGCACGGCATTGAGAGGCAGCCGTACATGTCCAGGCTGCTCCCACTGCAAAGCTGCATGGTTTGCAACACGGTGCGCCAGCCAACACTTTGACTCTCCGAGTTTTTACCTTGAAATTGTTTTCATCTTCTAGCCTCAGTTTTCACATCTATGTCATAAATGGGTTTGCAGAACTTGTCTTTTTAAAGTCGGTCAACCACGAAGTAACTGGCGAGACATGGAGATGCCCTCGAATGCTGCAGTGACCATGTATGAAGGTCATGCTTTGCTGGGCACTGACTGAGCCCTCCCCTCTCCTTACTGGGAGTTGCTGGGTGCTGACCGAGCCCCCTCCTCCCCTCCCCTCTCTTCCCCTCCCCTCTCCTCCCCTCCCCTCCCCTCCTCTCCTCTCAGGGAGTTGCTGGGTGCTGACCAAGCCCTCTCTTCTCCCTGCAGATCCTGGCCATCATCTCCATCATGTTCATCGTCCTCTCCACCATTGCCCTGTCTCTCAACACACTGCCCGAGCTACAGAGCCTGGACGAGTTTGGCCAGAGCACAGATAACCCACAGCTGGCGCACGTGGAAGCGGTGTGCATTGCGTGGTTCACCATGGAGTACTTGCTGAGGTTCCTGTCCTCGCCCAAGAAATGGAAGTTTTTTAAGGGCCCTCTCAATGCCATTGACTTACTGGCCATCCTGCCCTACTATGTCACCATCTTCCTCACGGAATCCAACAAGAGCGTGCTGCAGTTCCAGAATGTGCGCCGTGTGGTCCAGATCTTCCGCATCATGCGCATCCTTCGCATCCTGAAGCTGGCCCGCCACTCCACCGGCCTCCAGTCCCTGGGTTTCACACTGCGCAGAAGCTACAACGAGCTGGGCTTGCTCATCCTCTTTCTCGCCATGGGCATCATGATCTTCTCCAGCCTGGTCTTTTTTGCCGAGAAGGATGAGGATGACACCAAGTTCAAAAGCATCCCTGCCTCTTTCTGGTGGGCCACTATCACCATGACAACCGTTGGGTATGGAGACATCTACCCTAAGACTCTCCTGGGGAAAATCGTGGGCGGCCTCTGCTGCATTGCTGGGGTCCTGGTGATCGCCCTTCCCATTCCCATTATCGTCAATAACTTCTCGGAATTCTACAAGGAGCAGAAGCGGCAGGAGAAAGCCATCAAGCGGAGAGAGGCTCTGGAGAGGGCCAAGAGGAATGGCAGCATCGTGTCCATGAACATGAAGGATGCCTTCGCCCGGAGCATCGAGATGATGGACATCGTGGTCGAGAAAAACGGAGAGAGCATGGCTAAGAAGGATAAAGTGCAGGATAACCATCTGTCTCCCAACAAGTGGAAATGGACCAAGCGGGCACTGTCTGAGACCAGCTCAAGCAGGTCCTTTGAAGCCAAGGAGCAGGGGTCCCCTGAGAAGGCCAGGTCATCTTCTAGTCCTCAGCACCTCAATGTTCAGCAGTTGGAAGACATGTACAATAAGATGGCCAAGACGCAGTCCCAACCCATCCTCAATACCAAGGAGATGGCACCGCAGAGTATGCCAAAGGAAGAGCTAGAGATGGAAAGCATGCCCAGCCCCGTGGCCCCTCTGCCCACACGCACAGAAGGCGTCATCGACATGCGGAGCATGTCCAGCATAGACAGCTTCATCAGCTGCGCTACGGACTTCCCTGAAGCCACCAGATTCTCCCACAGTCCTCTGGCGTCCCTCCCCAGCAAGGCTGGGGGCAGCACAGTTCCAGAGGGAGGCTGGCGGGGGGCTCTGGGTGCCAGTGGTGGGAGACTCATGGAGGCCAACCCCACTCCTGAGGCCGGCCGCTCTGGCTTCTTCGTGGAGAGCCCCAGGAGTTCTATGAAGACCAACAACCCCATGAAGCTCCGAGCGCTCAAGGTCAACTTCATGGAGGGCGATCCCAGCCCGCTGCTGCCCTCTCTGGGGATGTACCACGATCCTCTTAGGAACAGAGGGGGTGCAGCGGCTGCGGTCGCAGGACTGGAGTGCGCCTCACTCTTAGACAAGCCTGTGCTGAGCCCAGAGTCCTCCATCTACACCACAGCAAGTGCCAGGACACCCCCTCTCTCCCCCGAGAAACACACAGCAATAGCATTCAACTTTGAGGCGGGCGTCCACCAGTACATAGACACGGACACAGATGATGAGGGGCAGCCGCTCTACAGCGTGGACTCCAGTCCTCCCAAGAGTATCCACGGGAGCACCAGCCCCAAGTTCAGCATCGGAGCTAGAACGGAGAAGAATCATTTTGAAAGCTCCCCCTTGCCCACCTCCCCTAAGTTCCTAAGGCCAAACTGTGTCTACTCCTCAGAAGGGTTGACTGGGAAAGGCCCCGGAGCTCAAGAGAAGTGCAAGCTGGAGAACCACACCTCCCCCGACGTGCACATGCTGCCTGGGGGAGGAGCACATGGGAGCACTCGGGATCAGAGCATCTGAGCTGCCCACCACAGAGGGGAGTTTGCAGGAGAAATCAAGGAAGGGGGATGCTTGGCTTGCTGCCGCTGAGTTCTACATAACCTCGGAGACACAAGCCCCCCCTCCCCCCGCAGAGCTCCAACAACAGGAGAGACCCTGAGAGCCATGACAGGTCTATGGGACACATAACCAGCCAAGCCATGGGGACCATACCTCCTAACAGCACCTTCCCGAGATGGAATGAGCAGAGCTCACAGCCACTAAGACCTAGCCTGGGCCATCCACTTCCTAGTTCCCTCTTGAGGCTCTCCCAACCTCTGAGTGCGCCATTGCCATCTCTGAATGAGGACATCGGAGCAAGGGACTGCTAGCGGAAGAGAGGGTTGACCAAGTAGTACTGGGTGTTGCCCAGCCACCTCCAAGAACATCTGCCCTCCGTGGCAAGATCGTGCTGTTAGAAGGGTCCAGGGGACACTTTGATCATGAGGAATTCTCTGCTCCATCGGCCATGGTCCCGGCGCATAACCCGTAACCAGGCAAGCGGCTTGAATGAGTCAGTATTCTGTGGTGCCCAGGGCTTTATTCTAGGACGCTGTCAGGGTGAGCTGACAGTCCGGACGCCATTCTTTCTGCCCACCTGGCGACCGAGGAAGGGTTCAGACAGTTGGCATGCAGCCAGGGGGATAAACCAGACCACCGCTTTTAGGGCCGTCACAGCAACGAGCGTTCCAGACAGCACTAGCCTGAACTCAAAAGATAGGTGAGCGTCAAATATGCAAACAAGATAGATTATTCAAAGAGACTGTGTGGCTGAAGAACCGCATTAAAAAATAATAAATTTCATTTTCTACATGAAAAAAAGAAAAGGAAAAACAAAGCCCTCCCTGAACTGCCCTGTGCAGGCTTCTGACGACTTTTCGTTGTGGCGGGAAACATAGGAACATACATACCATGAGAGAAGTTCTTTTTTTGTTTTGTTTTGTTTTTGTTCTTTTGTTTGTTTCCTGTGGTATTCAAACTAAAAAAATAATAATAAGTTAATAAAAAGCACTTTATGTTTTTCTAATCTAGGTTCTACCAGGGACAGTGTCAAGATCTTGCACTTTAAACCAAGCACTATTTCCCATGGGCCGCATGGTGGCCCTGCACTTGGGGTGTTACTCGTGCCCCTTTCTGGCCACACTGGGTCTCACTGTCACCGCATTAGAGTCCGGGGCTCCTCCATGGCCCCTCAGGATCACCCCTCATCCCTCATGGGTCAGAAGAGGTCCTCAGCCCTCAGGGCAGGGCTCTCTTAAAATCCCGTGTGAAAGAGACACACGTGTCTCAGAAGGGCGCAGCAACTGGGGGTTGGGTATTGTACTGTTCTTTCTTGTCAACCAGCCATTGTGTGTTCTGTGTCCCTGTCTGTCCTGGAAGCCCGATGCTCCTTCCCGCAGCCATCTAGGCAGACGGCACAGCCAAAAGCAATAAGTACCCGTGTGTATCCCTAGAGGTTCTGACGTACTTCCTGGTGTCAGTCTTCCTGTCCTAGCGTGTTGGCCTGGCGTTGTCCTGCCTGCTTCTAACCCAGTGGCACGGTGTTGTTGGCCCTTCCTTGGTGACACCAGTCTGCACGATGCTGTAGCTATGGCCTGTCTATCAGTAAAGGTGGTGTTATTGGCCAGCCTGTCGGCAGTACATGGGGCAATGTGATTTTCTTACTATGGTGGTAGTGGATAATGTCCCAAAGGCTGTAGTGTCCTCCTTTCTGTCCTCAGAACAGTGACAGGCGTGTGTCTTCCTGATGGAGCAATGACATGATATTGATCACCTGTCCTCAGTATAATTTATGGCTGGTCTGCCCAACAGTTCAATGGCATGATCTACCCATCAGCACACTTCCATCCCAATGTTCAGCCTCCTGTTCCATGGCTGAGGTCAGGCCACCTGTCCCAGGTAGAACGCTCCAGGGTTATTACATCAACCTTAAACAAAGTGTCTTCTACAGTTTGTGACAGTTCTCAGCATCTCCGGGGACCAGGGTGTTCTCCCTCCGGAGGGTGCATTTGCTGTGGTTGGAGAAGACTGAGACATCTGCTGTCTCGCAGGCCTTGGAGCTTTCTCAAAATGGTTGTGAAGGGGTAGCCAGTGAAGGTCACCCTGTCCAGCAGTGCCCTGGAGGCAGGAAGCAGGGGGGACTCCAGAGCCCCCTGCTGAGCTCGGCCTGGTGCTGGGGGGCTGTTGCTGTGACCACGGTCCTTTCTGCTCACCATCTCCCACGCCTTTGTTTTTTTCACCGCCCTAGATGTCACCCAGCAGCACAAATGTGAAAATTCAGGGAAAACAAAACAAATGCTTTTTGATAAAAAGTAAATAGTTGTGATTTCCGATTCAGATATTTTTAGAGCTATCTGTAAAAACTCCTACTGATGATAGAGTCTATTTTACATATCAGGAAGTAAACATGTCTTAACATAGCCATATATAGCCAGAAGGAAGTTACCGCCCCCTTCTTCAAATCAAGGCATTTCATTTGTTGGTTAAGCCGAAGGCAGGTGTACAGAAGAGAAATGACTTCTTTCTTTTTAAGAAATACTTGGTGCGACTTCTCCTTGTAACCAAAGGCCCCTTCTGCCTTGTGTCATGCAGGACCTGGCTGTCCCTTCCTCCTGCCTTTTGTCTGACCTTAAAGTAGCATTTTACAGAGTCAATGAAGGACGAATTCAGAGTACCCTTTCCCAGCTGAATAAACAGAGTCTGACCGAGTTCGTATAGAAATTCATCAACTCAGAGTAAACTATGCGTAAACGTTTTTTGCTTTGTTTTGGGTTTTGCTGGTTTGTTTTGTTGTTGTTTTTGTTTCTGTTCTTCCCCACTTATATGTGCGTGTGCCGTGGGAATACAGCTTTTCCTCCACATGTGACTCGAGTTAGTACTGTAAATTTTCCTACCAGCCCTCCACCTTCTAAAAAGGAACAGTTTCATTCCACACACACCCAACATGGGTACCTGCGTTTACATGCACTGGGGAAGCTGGAGAAGGGTCACCAAGATGAAGCTGAATCTGACAGATGGTTCTCAGTCATGAAAAGGGAAGCCAAGGTGTGGAGACAGAGGCGAGGCCCCTGAGCTTGGTGGTCCATTTCTGCCTGTCCTGAGTCAACCGGAACAGAAGGAAGTGAGGTACCCTGAATAACATCGAGGGCTGGAGGTGGAGATTCAGTTATGGTTCAGTTATGAAACCAACAGGACTGTCAAGAACCCAGTCTAACTCGAGTTCCAGCATCCATTCCATCATCAGAAAAGGCATCGGGCATCTGTGTGCACCCATCCATCATGCCGGGAAAGCCTGACCCATGGGAGAGGGGAGGACAGATCAGTGCTCTCACCCTTCCATCATTGGATGCCCCCAAAACAACAGGTCTCAGGCTGCGGATTTCTCTCTTCCATCTTAAGCACATTGAGAGGAGAAAGAGAGAAAGAGGAGATGTTGGTCATCGAAGAAAGAGGAACTACCCAAATCATGAGGAAGCCATCCTTGACCCACTCTGCTCGCCCCCAACAGTTGAGCCTTGTCTTCTGGTCCACCTCCTCTGTATTCCATAGCTGCAGCCTCATCTCGGCCCCTTCTCCTGAGAAGGAAGGAAAAAAACCACACAAGACACAACAGCATCCTCGTCTATACAACTGTAACGTACTGGCGACTTTTGTAATTATTATGCGTTTGTCTGACTCTGGTCATGGCTGGAATGTCTAGTCCATGAGCAAGGACATATTTAAAATTCATCCCAGACAAGGGTCCCTAAAGCCAGGTTTCTCTATATAGCTTGATAGAAAGATAGATATAGATAAAGAAATATCTCTCCTTTCCCTATTTCTCTGCCAACTTTTCTCAAGTAAAGAAACCGCAGGTTACGCTAAATCAAAGATTGCACAGGAGAGCTTCTAGAACATGTTCCTTCGGAGATGTGCTTTGTGCTTGTGTAGCTGAGAAGTTGGCAGAAGAAAGAAGGGGACTCCCAGGTCCCCAGAAGGACATTAGAACCCTCCAGCCCCAGGCATTTCCTAACCTATTATTGTTTATATGACAATACTCCAATGCTTTCATGTCACCAGGCCAGGGCCACCCAAACCAGCCCCGGGCACACCTGGAAATAAGAGTTACCTCTGCATTTTCTGTTGCCATTTTTTCTGGCTCTAGACGCATCTATATCCTAGGACGTCCACACATCTCAGAATAGTCTATTTTTTTGTTCAAATAAAAAATATATATATAATATGTATTTTTAGTATATTTATAATAGGACAATTTAGTCTAATTTCTTTTGTAACAGTAATATCTTGGGGGTTTTATCGTTGCTCATTTGCATAGCTGGTCTTTTCTGCTCCCCATTATTCCTTCCCACTGTCCTTTGGGCTGTTTTTTTCTTTTCTTCTGTTGGATTCTCATTGTCTGGAGGTGAGGAAAGACTTGGGTTTGACATCCTAGAAGACTGAGTTCCTGGCCCTGGGGGTGGGGGGAATCTGTGTTTTTCCTCATCAGGTCTGTGTCCCCCTGAGTTCCTGGCCCCCCAGGGGTGGCCATTTTGTCTTTCTTCATCAGGTCTGTGTCCCCCTGGCTGTCACTCTTAAGAATCCAGGTGTTCAGGAGCAAGCCAGGTGAAGCAGAGGTGTAGTTGGGACCTGGGTTGCCAGGAGCTCAGGCCCTACCCTCCCAGGATCTTAAAAGGACCGAGCTTTCTGGTTCCCCAAAATACTGGAACCAAAACCCTCCTGCAAGCAAACTTGCTTCCGAGCAATCGCTGAGCTCAGGAACACACCTGAGTCCCTCTTGGCCAGACTGCCCCCCTGTCCAGCATTCTGCTTCCCAGGGCCACCAGCTGGATCCAGGGACCAGAGCATTGTGCAGGCTCTGGCAAACCTCAGAGGAATGTGCTACATCTCCGATCCATTTCTCACAGTCTCACCAAAAACCAGTGACCAGACAGCCTTTTAGCCAAAAACTGAGGCGTGACAGCCCAACGCTGCGATCGTCCTGCCCAGTCCTTCTCAGCAGCACCAAGGGTGAAATTTGGGGCAAGGGCCTCAGTGTTTTTCCAGCTTCCGCTTTTCCAGGCCTCTAGTCCTTGGTCAGTTCCAAACATTCATATGCGAGGAGATTTTGAGCCTGGGGGCAGGTGATGGGCAGACACCACGTGGAATCAAGGGGTTCTTCCATCAGTCACCTACATGGGACAGCAAAGAAAGCCAACCAGACTGCCTCCCATGCTCAACAGGTCACCTGCCTGCCTTAGCTTCACCAGCATCAGAGATTTGGGTCGAGCCAGGACCTTCTCCATCTCAAACAGTGATGATGTCCCCAACTGAAAGAACCCCAAGAGGATGCTAACCCAAACACAATTCATTATCCTGGTGGTTGGATTTTCTTTTCTTCCCTTTGGTTTTGTTCTGTTTTGTGGTGTTTGGAATCTAACTAGGGCCTGGGCTGTGTCGCACAAGCGCCTGACCCCTGAGCTATATCCAGTTCCTGAATGTATTATTTTGGAATGTGATTCTAATCAGTTTCCCCATCCCTAAAATTCCTGGTAGTCTGATTTGTTCCAGAGTCAAATAAAACAGACAAGATTTTGTGTTTGTGCATGTGTGTGTGTGTGTGTGTGTGTGTGTGCATGTGTGTGTGTATGTGTGTGTGTGTAACTTTTGCATAAGAACAAAATTAAAAAGTACTGTCCTGTTATTTCCCAGGTTTCCTACCTGGATAAGTAAACATTGGCTGTCTTCTCAAGAAAGAGGGGGTATGCTCTGATCTTCTTTCCTTGCTGTAGAATTTCTCTAGAAATTTCCAAACGGCAATTTGAATGGAATTTGGAAGGGGCTGTTAGTCAAGTGATCCCTCCTCTCCACATCTAGCCCTACCTCTGCCCCCTCAGCCAAGGTCCTGAAGAAATCTAAAAGCTAGCAGGAGAGCTTGGGCAGGGAGCTGGCCCAAGAGAGTAGCCACCTAATGTGAGTTGGTCAGTTTCCACTCAAAGCCAGTAAACCCTTTCTCATTAGTTAGCTAATCTGCTCATGGAATGCAGTGCATGGTGGGTAAGGAGCTCCTGACTACCCACTGTATTGCAGGTGTTCACAGGGAGTCTGGTAATACACAAATGGGCCCTGGCATAATCACAAAATTGAACTGGAAACTCAAAGCAATTCTTTCTTGGTTGTTGTGTGTGTTGCTGTCCATGGCCTTATATGCACATATCGGTATCTGATAGGTGTCTTGAACATTCTGGGCCCAGGTTCAAGCCACATAGACAAGGTCTTGGAGCACAGCTAGTGGGACCTAAGGTTATAGGATCAGGGCCATCCTAGGAGGCACCAAAACAAGAAGGTTGCAGCAGGGGACTCAACTCACAAGCCTGACCTGTCAATCATTCACCCAACCCTTTCCCGGTGGCCTAACAAGGACCACTTGGAGATGAGATGCATGCTGCCCTTTCCCTGGCCAGCAGAGCGTCAGTCCACAAAGTCCTACCTGCGGTTGGTCACCGCATGGTGCTTCAGCCTCTTCCCCTAGATCCTGTGCCCACCAAAAAGACGCAGTGATCACCCCACAAGCCAGCCACCCACTGCCCAGACAATCCCAAAAGACGCCATTCCAAAAAGGGCTTTTTGTTTCCCTGTTAAATAAAATGTTGAACCTAGTCAAGATTTTCAAAGATCTCTACTCACAAAATAAATTCAGAAAAAAATAAAAAAAAAACTGAGGTAGCCGTAATTTCCGCTTTCAAGAAACAAAGCTCCAGCTGCTTCCAAGAAGAGAGGCTGCTCCCCACATCCATCCCCAAAGGACTTGCCTCCTGCCATTCACCTTCACTCAGTACAGAGCTGATGAGCTCTTCCTCGCTGGGCATGATGGGTATGGAGGAGGTGGCATGTGAACTTCCAAGGGAGTCCAAGTCCAGTTGGTCTCAGTGGTTTTGAAAGGCAAGGTAGACCAGTAGACCGAGGTTGGCTGAATCACTTTCTCCTAAAACTGAATTGAACAGAAACCAGTTTCCAAAATCTCAACCCACAGAGATGTTGCCCAAGACACTCAGCTGCAGTTACAGTGCAGTTGGGGGGAACGTAGGGAATCCCCAATTCTGTCCCACTTAGATGTGCTCCAAGCCACACACTTCCTGCCTCCCTAAGCAAAGCTCTGGGTAGACAGAGCTAGACCCAACTGCACAGCTCCCAGCCTCTGGGCTTCCCCGGGGTTTGAGACTTCTGTGACCAGCGGGCATTCATGAGCCAGATTTAACTTCAGGGAGTACAGGGCAGCTATCCTTTTTCTAGGTCCACTCGGTTTGGGTCTAAGCTAAAGGTCAGGGAGCCCACCTTTCTACACCAGAAGCTTGTGGCACACAATGATCATCCGGCTTGTGTTTTGGGGACCGTGGGAGCGGGAAGTGGATGGGGGCATAGTAAAAAGGAGCCTCACCTGGCTTGGGGGTTGCTAACTGGGGAGGAAAGAATGGGAGTCCCTTTCTCTCTGCACTGCCCCTGCTGATCCCGTGTCTTCTATGACTGTCTGGAGTCACAGTAATGCTTACATTTGATGTTGGTAGCCTCGAACTGATAGGGACCTGGTCTACTCAGAGCCTCTTGCCCTGAGGCCGGCCAGCACCTGCTGCCTTCCTGCTTGTTCTACTTCAGTTCACAGGGAGGTCCCACAGAGACCACAGTGGACATCCAGTAGTTCAAGCCAAGGGTCCAAGGTAGAGGTGGTCTGGGACTTGGCGAGGGCAGGAAGATGGGAGCCAGTGTCTGTAACCGGATCTCATTTCCTGAGTTGTAAGAACCAAGAACCAATGGTCTCTCCTTTTAACTGAGCCCCAAAGGCTCGCTTACATTGACAAGCATGCCAATCCCATCAGCTCAGACCCTCTGCCCCTCCCAGGACCCTATAGCGTAAGGCTGGGGTTCTTCTGCCAGCAAAGCCATTCTGATTGCCCCACCCTCCAAGGGGGCCAAGCCAATCATATTAGCCATATTCCACCAGGGTCCTCAGCCACCTTTCTTCCTGTTGTGTTCATGGGTCCTGTTGAACCTTCACCAGTGGAAGGCTCTAGTCCTTCCTGTACATGTGACAATGTGCATTGGTGTGCATGTGCTCATACATGCACATGAGTGTGCACACAAGAAAACCAACCAAACCCCAGTGTTGTCTTCTGCATGTGGTGAGATGGACTTGTGACCCTTGTGTGACCGCCAGCTGCTGTCCTGTCTTGTAAAAAAAAACGTTCACATGTTTAAGAATTTCCAAGCAAATGGTCCCTTAATGAAGTCTGCAGCGTTCAATAAAAGATCCGGAGAAAACAAGCCTGGTGGTGTTTTGGCTTATTCGTGGGAGAGGGAGGAGGTTTGGGTGTAAGAAAGACTGAGGGTTTGAGGACCTGGAAGGTCCATGCTGGGAGCTTCACTTCCCCTGGGAGAAAGTGCACGAAAATGCATCCGGCTTATCACCCGCAGTACACAAGCTCTTGGACTGTACCCGTGAATCAAAACCCAGAGCCACGTGGCTCACACATCTGCTCTACCTAGGTACCTTTTTCCCATAAAAATGCTTTCCCATAGATCAGGCAAGGTGGTGCGTGTCTGTCACCCAGTACTCCTGGGAGTGGAAGCCAGAGTTTCAGAGCTCCAGGCAACTGCGCCCCAGGAGACAGACCCAAAACAAAGCAAAAGCCAAAGATGGTAGCAGCTTTAACCCCCAGGGCCAAGAGGGTGACAGATGTGCAAAGCCACCTGGATTCCAGGAATAAGGGAAACCGGTGGGCGTGGTCATCTGGAGGATACATCCAGGTGCTATCATCTCCAGCTGGTTCTTATCTCCTAGGGACGTAGGATAGCCAAGCCACATCTTACAAGAACCAGAAATAGGGAGCTGGCAAAACGCTGCCAAGCCTGGTGGCCGGGGTTTGACCACTAGGCCCACATGGTGGAAGGAGAGAAACGGTTCCTCAAGTTGTCTTCTGACTTCTCTGCACAGGCATGCTGTGGCATGACCCCCATCTCTCCCTTCTTCCCCCTCTCTCTCACATACACACACATAGATAAGTAAGTAATAATGATGAAAAGGAATCAGAAAGCTGTATATTTTACAAGAGATGTCGGCTTTTAGTGTTGATGATGAATTCTAGTCCCTTTACATGTACTGGCCAGTGGAGGTACGTGTGCAGGCCAGCCACACCACTGGCTGACCACAACCACAAGCTAACCACAGCTGACCACAGCCACAGACCGCCACAGACTGACCACAGTCTTTGTCCAGACACAGCTTATAGGTTGAACAGAACTATGGACCAGAAACAGCCACCAGGGTTGGGCTCTCTGCCCTGAGTACCAAGATGGAGACTATCCATTTGTTTCCAGCCACGACGAACCAGATTACCCCAGTGCCTAGCAACTTGGAGAACCTGCTTTCCTGTGGTTTTTATGGTACTGAAAGTCAGGAGCAGCTATATGGGGTGACAAAGGTCACAGTGCCTCGACTGTAGACATCTTCTCCCCTGGACTGGAAGCTGAGCTCGGAAGCCTCTCCTCCTAGCTGGCGATCCAGCTCCAACGGTAGAGTGCTTGCCTAGCATGCAGATTCTATCCCCAGCGTTACATAGTCTAGGCATGACGGCACATACACTGCATTCCCAGCATCCAGGATGGGGAGGCAGGAAGGTCAGGAGTTGAAGGTCACCCTCTGCTACACAGTAACCCCGAGGCCAGCCTGGGCTGAATATCACAGGCCAGACTGTTTTCCGTTTGGTTTGAAAAAGTGTATAAACCTGGCTCGTGGTTTATTTCCTAAGTCAAGATATTAAAGAAGTGAGCACCATATACCATCACCGGTGCCTGTAGGACAGCGGATGCTTCAACACTCAACACAGAGGCCATCTTTTAGAAATAAGACTCAACTAACCTGGGCTGGAGAGATGGCTCAGAGGTTAAGAGCATTGCCTGCTCTTCCAAAGGTCCTGAGTTCAATTCCCAGCAACCACATGGTGGCTCACAACCATCTGTAATGAGCTCTGGTGCCCTCTTCTGGCCTGCAGGCATGGAGGCTGAACCATGTGTACATAATAAATATTTTTAAAAAAAAAACTCAACTAACTTTACATCAGGTTAGGCTGGAGAGATGGCTCAGCGGTTAAGAGCGCTGCCTGCTCTTCCAAAGGTCCTGAGTTCAATTCCCAGCAACCACTTGGTGACTCACAACCATCTGTAATGAGATCTGGTACCCTCTTGAGGAAGAGACCTGGTCAGTCATCCTCATCAGCTTAGTCCATAAACCCCAATATGGACAAGTTCAACAGCACCACCATATATGGGCTGCCCGTGCATATGCATACTTCAACACTGCCAGAGCATAAATTTCATTTTCAGTTTCAACTTACACGTAGTTCAGAGAGAGCATGGCAGCCTCAGGCTCCCTCTTGGCCGGAGCTCCAACCCTAGATGCCAAGAGCACCCTCCTGCAGTTACATGTCCAGCTGAGGATTTGGTGGGGGTGAGGGGAAGAATGGGAGGGAAGGCAAAATTACCTCCAGCTGAGGCCCACTAGAAAGGGGTCAAACATCAAAGTCAAAATCTCCCTCCTGCCTCAGGCCTCCATTTCCGGATGCAATCCTTGTCTACAGCTCTAGTTCTTCGTGGAGAGGATCTTCACACATACGTGTGCTTGCACATACACAAACATACGGGGTGTTTCATTTTGCCTTCCTGTGTTTCAGCTCAGTTACCTGTGACCAGCCCTCCCTGCCCCTCACATTCTCACTGGGTGCATCGTGGGCCTCATTCCATAAGAGACTCACGAGTCCTCCCATGAGGCTGTGTAATGGCTGGTCTCCTATGGCCAGGCATTGTAGTTGCCCTGACCTTCCCCTGTAACAAGCAATGCTGAAGTAAATGGCTGGTGGGCACTTCCTCTGGGCTCAGCTTTCCTCGAGCTGGGATCTGCCTTTCCACTTCAACGCCACCTCCCCACCGCCCATGGCTTGCTGACTACAGCGCCTCCAGCCAGGCTCCTCAGTTCTGCCCTGCATCTCTTCCAGGCTCTCCTTAACACAGTGGCCAGAGGGTTTCCTGTCAAGCTGTCAATCTGGGCAGGTCACCGTGTCCTCGGAAAGCTCCCAAGGCCCCCAGTCACATGTGGCACAAAGCCGAAGTCCTTGGTAAGTCCTTCCAGGCACTCATCCCCTGCCCCTGCACTCACCAAGAGCCTCCTGTTCTGTCATCATCTCCTTCCTGCTTCTCAGACATGCCCACCTCACTCACCAAATGCTGCCACCCTGTTCCCACCCAGAAGGTACTTCTGTGTCTCCTGTCTTCTCCCTCCTTCATCGCCAAACACACTAGCCCTCTGTCAGTTTTCTGGTACATGAAGGACATGTCTACCTCAGGGCCTTTGCTCTGACTGTTCCTTCTGCATGGAAGAATGTTTCCAGGCGAGCCATGTGAATCTCAGATTCTTTGGACCTGGAAGGTCCATGCTGGTAGCTTCACGTTGCTTGGAAGAGTGGGGGCCTGAAAATGTGACTGGCTTATCGCCCCCAATAAGCCTGGCTTCTTTCAGGTGTCAACTTGTCAATAACCCTTTGATCTGACAACACGTGCATACACATACATGCACACACACACATGCACACACACCGTGCCTTCTCAGTATAACATCCATCACCTCCCAACACGTTCAGTTTTTTCCAAGGATTTATTTTACTTTTTAATTGCATGTAGATGTGTGTATCTGTGCATGGGTATGGGCACATGAATCAGATCCCCTGGAGCTGACGTTTGCAGACATTGGTAAACTACCCTATGATGCATGTGGAGTCTGGGGATCAAATCAGGTCCTTGTTGAGAGCAGTATTCGCTGTTAAGCTCAGTCCCTGGCTGCTTCCTTCTTAGGAATAAAGTCCAGTATAGCATAAGGAATAAAACAGACAGACTAGAGAGTGGCATTGACGTCAGCATTACATCACTCAGAATTAGGGAGCGAGACTCATGAAATTCTCATTGGGGTGTGTGTGTGTGTGTGTGTGTGTGTGTGTGTGTGTGTGTGTGTGGCAATGGGTGGAAACCATCCCTCTTCCTGCAACTCAAGGTTAAAAGTATCTGAGAAATGTAGTCTGGCATGGCGGCACACACCTTCAGTCCCAGCACTCGGGAAGCAGAGGCAGGTGGATCTCTGAGTCTGAGGCCAGCCTGGTCTACAGAGAGAGTTCCAGGACAGCCAGGGTTACACAAGGAAACCCTGTCTCAAAAACAGAACAGAGCAAAATCTAAGAAATGACAGCGTGAGGGTAAAGGGCCCAATTTAGTCCTAGCCAGCCCATAGATATCTGGAAGCAGCTTGCCCCTCTCTGACCCACCAGGGTGTGACCCCTGTCCCTCCTCCTGCATTTTTCCAAGAACACACTTAAGTCCTCCATAATAAAGGGCCCATTGTCACAACTGCCTAACCTCCCTACTCAGTTCAGGAGTGGGTACGCCCATACCCAGGGCATGAGCTCAGGGCCTGTTTAGAGACCGGGTTCTCCTGTCAGCGACGTGGCCTCCAGCAGCTATCTGGAGAGCATTTGTGCAGAGTCAGCTTGCTGAGCCTGGAGCTGCCTGGGGCTGATTGAAAGTGTCCTCCCGTCCCCCGCTCCCCTGCTGCCATGAAACACCAGAAGAAGCAGGGCCTGGCAGGCATGCCTATGCTCTTTCTGTGTGCACCTGCATGCCGTTCTCTCATTCAGGCCCAGCTGCTGACACGCTGGGAGAGAAACCCCGGAATGGGAAAAGTCTCCCAAGACTGGTGGGGAAAGACTTGGACTATATAGATATGAGGTTAAGGAACAAATGACCAAATCCCATTGTCTGACTCTCAGGCAATGACCCCCATGCCAGGCAGCCAGGGGCTGTTGAAGGGGAGAGGTGGGCTTTGGGGAGATTCCCAATCTCAGTTCAACTCTGTGATTCAAGATAACTGGAGGGATGGATGAAGGAAAGGGTGGGGGTAGAAGATGGGAGGGGCCGGGGAACCCGTGATGCCACCTCTTGACAAGGTGAACTGCCTACCGCTCTGTCCTCACGGTGAGCAGCAACGGCTGGAACTAGGCCAGGCGAGGAGTCCCTTCATCCTGACTTGCAGCCTCAAGCCAGAGGCAGCTGCTCCCCTGCCAGCGCACGAGTACCGCCTGGGTGGCTCGGAGGGCAACCGCCACCATCCATCCTTGACTGGGCTCCCCTCGAGGCAGACTCTAGGCCCCATTAATATAAATGAGGGCCTTTGCTGACTCAATTTCCGAATGAGTGCAGACAGTCAAGATCCCTATTCCAGGAAAT